TACAAACAACCCATAAACAGGGTCACTTGGCTGAGTTGGGTGGCTACGGAAATTGATTTGCCCATCCAGTTGTCTGCAATTTATTTAAGCAACTGGTGGCTGATGATCAAGTACTGTGGCACCATATAACTTTGGGCATATAGAGTATAAAATAAATAACTAAGGGGGCTTCACTTCATTGCACTTGTCATCTTTGAGCTTTATATTTTATTGTTTTGATGGAAAATTGTGCGACTGTTACTAGTTTCTTAGGGTCACCCAAGAAGCACAAGGCAGCTGACAAATAACTTTGGAGATAATAAACTGTTTCTCAGGGGGCAACCTTTTCTTGCAAGAAAGAAAGAAGCTGGTGAGAAAGATTTGAAGAGTGGGAAATGATGGCTGGTGATTCTAGACAATCTGAAGTGTTGAAGGTCTGTCCTTTCCTGGTGATCCTGGGACAAGACTCTTGAAATATCCCTGGGTGCAGTCCAGAGAAGACGGGCATTGGCTGCAAGGGAGAGACAGCCTTGGGGCAAAGGAAATCAGGTGCTGGCAGCCCAAGAGAAAATGCCTGCTGACATAATAGCTCAAATCTATGGAGAAAGCGGGTTGTAGGGGAAAAGAATTAAATACATTACATGCAAAGAAACTGTTTCTTTAGATATATGGGCACAATTAATGATAGATCACTGCCACATTCCAATTTCTATTTAGCTGAAGCAGAGAAGGGAAGACGGTGTGGGTGGAAGATAGGTACTATGCATTAACTGCTGTAACAGAATACTGCATACATTATTTCACAGGTATGAAAAGAAAACTAAGAAATTTGCCTTTCTTTGTTAATAAACAGAGGGGAAATCAGGAAGAGCCTTTTTGTAGTACGTATTGGACTACAAAGGGAATCCAAAGTGCTCATTAACAAAATGCATGCACGAATCTGTTTTCCAAAGCCATGAATCGGAGGTAGCTGATACCACCTTATTCCCAGCTCACCAAGCATTAGCTGCAGTGGCATTTACCTCTCCTTTTCCATCATGATTTGCACTGGGCTGAGATGGTTGCTTTTGTTGCCAGTCCCCAACTGCCCATAAGTGTTTGCTCCCCAGGCATACAGTAAACCCTCATCTGTTAGTGCTAGCGTGTGTGCATAGCCACAGACAATCTGCAAATAAGTTTGTAAAGAAGGCAGGAGTTAGTATACATACCACTCCAGGATAGCAGTGAAAGGAGTTTATCACTGAAGCATAATACAAGCTGCATGCTTGATATGCTAGAAGAGAAACCCTTATAGGAGGCATAAAAGCTTCAGTTATTATTAACAGTTTTATATCATATTTAGGTATCAGTTGGCTAGTCTCTAAAAACTGATTGGTAATTCTTCAACCCCAAATCTATACCCCTGCTAGGGCTGTGCACACTTCCACAATTATTAGGGGGAAACAATGACCTCTAGCAAACATAGCATCTTTCTGCTCTTCATGAAATAAGATCAGTCTTTTCCAGGATCCCACATGAGACTGAAAAAGGACAATTATGGTTTATGAGTTCAATTTAATTGGTGGATTCCCTTAGGTAGCAGCTTCCTTTTACAATCTCCAAGTTGGAAAAATGTGTTCTGCTTTAATGAAGAGCAGAAATGAGGTGTTCACAGGAGGTCTGAAGCACTTACAGGTAGTTCTTGATTTAGAACCCCAGCTAAATGATACTTCAAAGTTATAACAAACTTGAAAAAAGTTATAACCCGTCCATGAAGTTACGACTACTGCACTATCCTTGCAGTCATGTATTTGCATTTTGGATGCTTGGCAGCTGGCTTGCATTTATAGGTGTTTGCAGCATCCTGCAGTCATGTGATCACATTTTGCAACTTTTTTGTTGTTTTCTAGCAAAGGCGACATTGGATAAGCTGGATTCAAACTTATGACTATGTGATGCTTAACATTGTAAAAATAGTTATACAATTGTGTCTGGTCATATGGTAACTCAACTTACAACTGCAATGACTTACAACCAGAATTCCTGGCTCAGTTGTGGTTGTAAGTCAAAGACTACTTGTACTCTTAATTGTTCCTGCACTAGCAGGAACTAGCTAGTGCCTGCTATTACTGAAGCCAAGACAATCAAACATGCTGGAAAAGCTGAAACATAAAATATTCAAGAATGTGTACACTGAATGCCTGTACCACTTCAGATACTACATGTCGTATATTATGCAGATTCCAAATGCCTTGAACAGCAATTACTCTGCCAGGGAACAGCACGGACCAATCTATGGTATCACCACCTCTGGTGCCTCTCAGTTCTTGTCCACAAATGGCATACTTAAGCTGTAGAAATCCATCAGAGCCACAATGTACTGAAGAGAAGGACAAGATTGCTAATAGAGTATGAAGGGCAAAAGATAAAGGCCAAGGGACTACAACTGATTTGGCTACACCTGATTTTGCTCAAGCTTTCAGGAAACTTTTCCTGAAGGAGAATATCCCAAGGTCATTCTCCAAAAACATCTAAGAATGAAGCTGTTTGCAGTTTAAAGGCAAAACGTTCAAGGTGTGTAATTTCCTATCCACTTGTTAAAAAATCAGAATTGGAAGAGATTAGTGGGGTAGAGGTTACACTTCCCTTATCTCATTAACAATGAATATTTCCAAGATTAGGGACAATTTCCCAACAAATCATTCAAATAACAGAAAGCACAGATCTCTATACTCACCTGCATTACACACACACCTTGAAGTGCTGCCACTCGGCATGGAGTTAACTGATTGCCATTATTTCCCAGACCAAGTTGTCCATTGCCGTTGTAACCCCAGCCATAAACCTGGGGTGAGGAGGAGGTTAATTAATCATATACTTTATTTCTACCCAAAGAGCTCCTGTTCTGGGAGAATAGAAGTGCTAAACTAGCAGAAGTTCAAAAACTTTGAAATAGAATGCACTGAAAGAAACCTTATTTTAAAACAAAGTCTTGTACTATTTCCTTTCTCATTTCCTATGTTCGTAAATATATTATTTCAGATTATTTCATAAATATATTATTTAAAATCTTAATTTTATAGTAAGGGTTTTTTTTATAGAGATAGAAAATGTTTTCCATAGTTTACAGATTATTTTTGGCTGGTGTAGAAGTCTGGATTTCCTATGAAACAGAAGGATTGGATCAGTGCTATTCTCCATTGTGGAAGATAAGGTAAGCAGGTATATTACAATCTGCTTTCTATTTGCACAGATATTCCACACCTATGTTCATAACAAGTAGCTTATCTGGATGGGGAGAAACAGCCTCAGGCTCAACCCGTCCAAGACTGAGTAGCTGTGGCTTCCGGCATCCCAATATAGTCAGTTGGCGCCATCGCTGACTATTGGGGGCAAGTCGTTGGCCCCCACAGAGAGGGCTCGCAACTTGGACATCCTCCTGGATACACGGCTGTCTTTAGAAGAGCATATGATGGCTGTGGCCAGGGGGGCTTTTTATCAGGTTCGCCTGATCCGCCAGTTGCGTCCCTTTCTGGATTGGGATGCCTTACACACGGTCACTCATGCTCTCGTTACATCCTACCTGGACTACTGTAATGCTCTCTACATGGGGCTCCCCTTGAGGAGCACCCAGAGACTCCAGCTGGTCCAGAATGCGGCCGCGCGGGTGGTTATGGGGGCGACTCGGTGCTCCCATGTAACACCTCTCCTGCGCGAGCTGCACTGGTTCCCGGTGGTCTTCCGGGTGCGCTTCAAGGTATTGGTTACCACCTTTAGAGCGCTCCATGGATTAGGACCCGGGTATTTATGAGACCGCCTTCTGCCACCGATAGCCTCCTACCAACCAGTACGCTCCCACAGAGAGTGGCTCCTCAGGATGCCGTCGGTCAAACAATGTCGACTGGCGGCCTCCAGGGAGAGAGCCTTCTCTGTGGGGGCACCTACCCTCTGGAATGAGCTGCCCCCGGAGATAGGGCGGATCCTGGATCTTCGAACCTTTCGCTGTTCCCTAAAGACGTATTTATTCCAGCAAGCTGGGCTGACCTAACTCTTTTAAATTGTTTTAATTTTTAAATTGTTTAATTATGGGTCTTAATACAGGGGTGTTTTAAATTGTGGGCCAAATTAATTTAATTGGATTTTAATACTGTTTTTAAATTTTATATTTCTTGTGTTTTATCTGTTGGCTGTTCACTGCCCCGAGTCCTTCGGGAGAAGGGCGGTATATAAATATAAACAATAAATAAATAAATAAATAAATAAATAAATAAATAAATAAATAAACAAACAAACAAACAAACAAACAAACAAACAAATTACTGTACTTCAGAAGTGACTGCACTTTTGATGCAATCACCCCTGTTTTTGAGCCTCTTATCTGTGTCACTACTAGTAACAATTAAGATAAAGAGAATTAGCATGAACTCCCTAGTTCAGAGAGCGGAGGATGAATACTGGCACATTAGTTGTTAAGAGACAATACTTCACTTAAGAAGTATACTTCTTTCACTACCTATTGAAAAGAAATGTCATTGGGCTGCCTCTAGGGTGTTGTAGTCTAGTGACAATGCCTTACATAAAGTGTCTTAGTTATTAGATCAGCTGGTTAAATTATGACCTAGGAAGATGCTATGCAGCTTGCAGCCTGTTCCAAGCAGCTTGTCCCCTATCATTCTGGAAGTTTCTGACAAATTGAAGGAAAAACAAACTGGTTTACTTCCTTCTCATCTGTAACTCTCTAGTTTATTCCAGTAAAACCTGTTGGCATTCACATAAGTTTGAGCTTATCGGCACTGAATCCTAGATCCCATACCAACACTCCTTGAGTGGATATTGAAATAAGCAAGGCCTGTACTACTTGGAAAACAGCCCTGGGATCTTTGGATAATAAAACTATAAAGAATGATAAGTGATGTAAGTCAAAAGGTCTTACAGACTGAAGACTAGCCATCTTTTCCCAGGTATTTCTGAGGCTGCAGAATTTCTCTGAATTGCTCATATCTACTTCTGAATCTATTTTAATTGGACATATATTTAAAGAGAACAGAAAGGCAACTCTTCCTTTGAATTAAGCCAGTCTCCAGAAGAGCAAGAGCAAGGTTTGTCTTCATTCTGCAGCTCCTTACCTCATCTCCCCACATCACGCATTTCTATTTTACTTTTAGGTTCACTTCAAATGTATATACCTTCTCACACAATTGGCTGAATTCAAGGCTTTGAGACAGAAGATTTTCTCCCTGAGCAGAGATAGACACTTGATGCTTTAAAACTTCTCATAATTTTTGAAGCAATCCTTTGTATTTTATTTGAAAAATATTCTCTTGTTAAGCATTTTTCCAAATTTAATTTGAAAATTTTGCAAGGTTTGGCTAATGCTGTGCTAGTTTGTTTGTTTGTTTGTTTGTTTGTTTGTTTGTTTGTTTGTGTTTGTTTATTTATTTATTTTTCAATTTATATACCGCCCTTTTACCTGAGGACTCAGGGTGGTACACAGCCAGAATTAAAAACATGAAATACAAATATTAAAAACAATTAAAATATATATAAATTTGGCCCAAAAATTTAAAAAACCACAAACCAATTAAACATTTAAAAAATTTAAAAAATTTCTTCCTAAGCCAGCCCGGCTTGCTGGAAAAAGTGGGTTTTAAGGGCATGGCGGAAGGCACGGAGGTCTTGGATTCTCCTTATCTCTGGGGGCAACTGATTCCAGAGGGTAGATGCCCCCACAGAGAAGGGTCTCCCCCTGGGGGTCACCAGCTTACATTGTTTGGCTGATGGCACCCTGAGGTGGCCCTCTCTGTGGGAGCGCACGGGTCGCTGGGAGGTCGTCAGTAGCAGCCGGCGGTCTCGAAGATAGCTAGGCCCTATGCCATGGAGCGCTTTAAAGATGATAACCAACACCTTGAAGCGCACCCGGAAGACCACCGGGAGCCAGTGCAGCTCGCGCAGGAGCGGTGTTATATGGGAGCGCCATGCTGCTCCCATCACTACCCGCGCTGCTGCATTCTGGACCAGCTGGAGCCTCTGGGTGCCCCTCAAGGGGACCCCCATGTAGAGAGCATTGCAGTAGTCAAGGCGAGAGGTGACGAGAGCGTGAGTGACTGTGCACAGGGAATCCTGATCAAGAAAGGGCCGCAACTGGCGAATCAGGCAAACCTGATAAAAGGTTCCTCTGGTTACAGCCGTCAGATGTTCCTCCAAGGACAGCTGCATATCCAGGAGGACACCCAGATTGCGAGCCCTTTCTGTGGGGGCCAAGGACTCGCCCCCAATAGTCAGTGATGGAGTCAACTGACTATATCGGGATGCCAGGAGCCACAGCCACTCAGTCTTGGAAGGGTTGAGCTTGAGCCTGTTCCTCCCCATCCAGATCCGCACAGCCTCCAGGCACTGAGACATCACTTCAAGGGCATCGTTGGGGTGGCCTGGGGTGGAGATGTACAGCTGGGTGTCATCAGCGTACTGGTGGTATCTCACCCCGAAGCCACGGATGATCTCGCCCAGCAGCTTCACATAAATGTTGAAGAGAAGGGGCGAGAGGACCGATCCCTGCGGCACTCCACAGATGAGAGGCCTCGAGGTCGACCGCTGCCCCCCTACCAACACAAACTGCGACCGGTCGGAGAGAAAGGAGGAGAACCACCGCAATACGGTGACTCCCACCCCCAACTCTTCCAGCCGATGCAGCATGATACCATGGTCGATGGTATCAAAAGCCGCTGAGAGGTCTAACAGGACCAGAACAGAGGAGCAACCCCTGTCCCGAGCCCTCCAGAGATCATCAACCAATGCGACCAATGCCGTTTCCGTGATGTGCCCAGACCTGAAACCCGACTGGAACTGATCTAGATAAGATGTTTCCTCGAGGAATTGTGGAAACTGTCACGTGACCACACTCTCAACAACCTTCGTCATAAAGCAAAGGTTGGAGACAGGACGATAGTTGGCCAATATTGCCAGATCCAGGGACGGCTTCTTGAGGAGAGGCCTCACCACCGCTTCTTTCAAGGCAGCGGGGAAGTAACCCTCACTCAACGAAGCATTGGTAACACCCTGGAGCCAGCCTCGTGTAACCTCCCGGGAAGCCAGTACCAACCAGGAGGGACCCGGGTCCAGTAAACATGTGGCCGTACTAAGTCTCCCCAAAATCCTGTCCACATCATCGGGAGTCACAGCATCAAACTCCTCCCAGATAACATTCTCAAGACTATTCCTCGTCACCCTGCCCTGATCTACCCAGTCAGAGTCCAAATCCCCCCGGATCTGAGCAATTCTGTCATACAGGTATTGTCCGAAATCCTCCACCCTGCCTTCCAGGGGATCCTCCCGCACTCCCGGATGGAGCAGGGAGCGGGTCACCCTAAACAGGGCAGCCGGACGATTCCCTGATGACGCAATAGAGGCGGAAAAGTAATTAAACTTTGCCGTCTTTATCGCCACTTGGTAGGCCTTAATGTGCGACCTTACCAGTGTTCGATCAGATTCAGCGAGACTGGCCCTCCAACCGCTCTCCAGGTGTCTTTTCTGGCGCTTCATTTCCCTCAGTTCCTCAGTAAACCAAGGAGCTGCGCGGGATCGGCACCGGGTCAGAGGCCGCAAAGGCACGACTCGGTCCAAGGCCCCACCAGCCGCCTGATCCCAGGCGGCTACCAGGTCCTCAGCCGAGTCATGTGCTAGATCCTCAGGAAATGGCCCAAGGTCCATCTGGAACCTATCAGGATCCATCAGGCGCCTGGGGCAGACCCATCTTATTGGCTCCGCCTCCCTGCGGTGGAGTGTAGCGGTTCGAAGGTCCAGGCGAAGGAGCAACTGATCTGACCATGACAAGGGTTCCATGTCTATATCCCCTATAATAAGATCACTCAACCACTGGCCAGAGACAAAAATCAAGTCCAGAGTGTGCCCCCCCCTGTGGGTGGGACCATGAACTAGCTGGGTCAGGTCCATGGCTGTCATGGAAGCCATGAACTCCCGAGCCGTCTCAGACGTTTCACCGATGGATGGCAAGTTGAAATCACCCATGACCATAAGCCTGGGTGTATCAACTGCCACCATGGCTATCACGTCGAGGAGCTCGGGCAGGGCCGTTACCGCGCGGCAGGGAGCCAGGTACGCAAGCAACAAGCCCATCTGAACCCCATGACCCCATCTCACAAAGAGGGATTCACATCCGGCAATATGTGGCACAGTGGTCTCCCTCGGACCAAGACCTTCGTTGATAATAACCGCCACCCCCCGCCCCTCCCCTGGGCCCTTCACAATATATGCCATTTTCACTACCACCAGAAAATCCTCCAGAATTATCTTCAGAAACAGTCAGTGAAGTAAACATCCTTGTGCAAGAAAGTAAAATGTAATCTTGACCTGCAGAACAAGTAGATGAGTTTGTTTGTTTTTTAAATCCCAATAACTAAACAACACTTTGTTGTACATTTTCCATGAAATCCTTATACAGGAACACTTCTGTTTGCAGAATCAGAGGCAAATGCGGAAGGCCATCAGATGCTTACCTCCCCATTATCTATGACCACAACGGAAGAAGTTTGACCGCAGGAAATGCTGACTGCTACCTTAGCCTGTAAACAATTGGAGACTCTGCGAGGAGTTGGCTGGTTTGCAGTTGATCCTGACCCGACTTGTCCACAGTTGTTATAGCCCCAGGCGTATACCTGGGAGAGACACCAAGGAAGCATACCACAAACCTTACTAGGTGAGCAGAAACATTTCTCCAAAGCATATATTGTTTAATAGGGCAGGTACCAAAGTAACTAGTTTTACAAGCCACAGACAAGTAGCATGGCCATTTATGATATACTTCAAAGTACTGATGTGATTAACTTCTAATTGCTGGCAACACAAAGCCATTGATACAGGAGTCTCTTCTAACACACTTGGCTAATGAAAGAGTGTGCATTTTATCTTGTAGCATCCAGGCAAAGCTTCAGTTAGAAAGTGAACATTTTTCTGCAGGAAACTAGAGCAGGGACCCAGTCAAGAGGGATCCCATTTGGAATCAATGCCTGTTACTACTTCCAAAGACAGACACAGTTTAAATACAGTTTTACAAGTTAAATGTTATGTTCAGCCCTGAATGAAGGAATGGCCCATATTCACTTCATTCTAAAGTAGGGCCCATGCATTAGAGGTGGGTTGCCTTCTATCCACCAAGTCTTTTCTGCATTTTTCAAAAGAAAAAAAAGTCACATAGAAATGAAGGAAAAGAAAGAGAACTGTATTCTACCTTAAAGAAAGCCCCAAGTATGCTTACAGCAACACGAGGGCTCAAGTATCTCTCTTCTTCCTGATACTTCCTAAGAAAAAAAATCTGTCAGTGCAAGCCTGTGTGCTCATTACTGTTAGATGGCCCAATCCTCATTACTAGAGGAGGAGGAAGAATGCTACACCACTATGATGCAGAAGGAAGGAAGGAAGGAAGGAAGGAAGGAAGGAAGGAAGGAAGGAAGGAAGGAAGATCAACCGGGCTGGCTTAACACTTTTTAAAATGTTTTTAATAGGTTTGTTATTGTTCTTTTAATTATGGGGCCAAATGTATATATATCTTTTTAACTGTATTTTAATGTTTGTATCTATGTTTTTTACTTTGGCTGTACACCGCCCTGAGTCCTTCGGGAGAAGGGCGGTATATAAATTTGATAATAAATAAATAATAAATAAATAAAATAAAACTCAGAACAAATAGCGTTCAACTCATGAACAATGATAAAAGGTAAACTAGCAACAGGATCTACATATAAAAAATTATCTCCTTGCTAAAGGTTATAGCACTTTTATACTAGGCAATTTTCAAAGGTTTATATCTGATATCTTCAAAACTAATTGTAAACTTTCAAGACTTGAAATGGAACATTATCCCCTTCATGCAAAACAAATAATCTCTAGTACCTGTCAGATATGAAATTAAACAGGCTTAGTCTCACAGAAGAGACCACAATACCTCCAAATATTATCCCAGAGTCAGACACTTTCCTTAAACACGTACCCACACAATTTAAAGGAGCCAAGTTCCACATTTATGCATCTATTTTTCAGAAATTGTTCCTCTTGTTACTAAAACAGGTATTGTATATCTATAAAATTTATTCTATCCAGCTGAAAAATTTAGAAATTTCAGCACTTGTAATTTCCCAAGCAAAGGGGAAATTCAAGTATCATTATTCCAAGTTTTATTTTTGAATCAGAAAGCCTACTAGATCAAAAGAAAATAGGTCGCTGTCTCACTGGGCACCGAATCAATGAAGTCCATTCAACCTTTATTTTTATGTATGAAATCTTGTTTTTATTGTTGCTACTGAAAACTTGTACAAAATATAAAACCCCCATGAAATCAGATTGCCAAGAGTAGCTTATTTCCTCTATAATGATAAGAACTTTTATTGTCAAGATAAAATCTGAAATATTTCACTAAGAAAACACAGATTAATGGTAGTATCAATACCCTTTTTTCAAGGACAATTTTCAGACATTTACCAAACAAAAGAACATTCTTAACAGCAAAAACCTGAATAGCTAGTTAGAAAAGCAGAACTTACATCTCCATCAGATGATAATGCAAGAGAATGGTGGGAACCACAAGCTACTTCCGTTACTTTCTTAATGAGCAAATTAGTAGAAATCTGAATAGGCGTCACACCCTGGTTGGTTGTCCCATTCCCAAGCTGACTATATCCATTATGTCCCCAGGCATAAACTTCACCATCTACCCAAGAATAAACAAAGTAACGACAATGAAACATGCAATTAGGCCACATTTGTACACCTACTCAGACAGAACAAGTTTATTGCATTTTAATAAGCACTGTCATTATGTTTGGTTGCATAGCTGGTCAGTTGTGTAGACTGGGTTTGGCTTTTTTAATCTACTTACTATGATTATTATGGTCATTTCTCTAATGACTTGTTTTATGGGAAGATAAGGCAGTGGTACTGGAGAACTTGAATGAATTGGTATTACTTGACTGGGAAAAAGTTAAACAGCAATTGGCTAAAACTAAATGCACACATTCTTTCTGTAGTGTGAAGAATGTAAATGAGCAATATACTCTTCATCTTTAAAGCTTATCACATACATTTATCCAAACATATTTTAACTAAGCAACTTCATTATGCAAAGATCTGACTCTCTTCAGAAGTTTATAATGCCGGGAAAAATGGAAAGAAAGAAGAAAGAGGATGACCAGAAGCAAGATGGATGGTTGAACTTAGTTACATCATCAATGGGTGCATGGTTGGAAGATCTGGAGCTAGGTGGGGGGGACAAATTGTCTTGCAGAAAATCTATCTATTGATTGAAAAGACTTGACAGCAACTTGATGGGATACAGTTTATTAATCAACTAAAGGAACATAAATGAGAATGTTATCCAGGATGATCACAAACTAAATTTCCAACAGGCTTTAAACATGCACTTACTTTAGTTTTAAAAACCTAACTTCTAAATACTTGTTGACACAAGGAATGTTGTTTCACGATATATTTTTTTTAAAAAATTAAAAAGGAGTGAACATTCAATTTCTGTCTCCTGTGGAGATATAATTATGCCACCGCCACCCTATGACCCTCAGTCACTGAGAGAAACTCACCCCCCAAAAAATGCAGCCCATGGCTGCAAAAAATCTGTCCAGCCTACTTGAGGGGAAGAAAAGTGGCAAATGCAATTCACACCAAGATGACAGCCCCCACTGACAGAAGCAGACTACCTTTTTGCATGCTCCAATTCCATAACTAAGAATCAGGTGCTTAGATTTGTGCCTCTAATACTATTCAGAAAAAGTTTCCCACCTTCTGTACTAAGGATCACATGCGGCCCACTTCCATAGCTAAGACTGCAGATCCTCTTTCCGCATAAACCTTCAAGTTTTTTTGGTACAATAGTACTCTGATTATCTCCAGTTCCCAGACAATTACTGCAGTTTAGTCCAAATACAAAAACCTGGGTGGGGGAAAAAAGCAAAACCAATGAGCTGACATGGATATGTTCATTTATGGCACGTTAAAAAAAAGTCTAAATTGACTTTGCGATGTATAACAGATTTACAATGAAACTGAGATTTATAATAAATATGGAATAAGGGACTGATAGAAGATAAATCAGGTTTAAGAGCCTACACATCATTTCAAATTCAGACAGGCTATTTGGAAGTGTCTTGGGCTTGAAACAGTTTCAAATTGAAAATGTTTCCAAATGACCAAATGATTTCTCTGCCTTTTATGCTTCACTAGTTTGTTTTCACATAGCAAAGTAGCGATGTTTAGCTACTTTGCTATGTGAAAACACAGAAATATGTAGCTATTTTTGTACAAAGTAGCATCCTATAGCAGAGTTTGAAGTAATTTCTTAATCTGTAGTGTCTCATGACACTTGGGTATTTATTTATGTTAAGGTAACTGACCTAATTTTACTTGTTATTTATTTCAACTTGCAGAAAGGTTAGGGTTAGTTCCTGGCTGCTTTCTGGTTTGAAGCCAGTCATATCTTGTAAAGTTTCTGTTAATATTTGAAGGAGTGACCAAAATATATTTTATCTTAACACCTGATGTGGATAGTAATAACAGTCTCCATATAGGCATTTCTATCTGTTAGAGGACAGACATATATCTATGTGATTTGTACTCTAACATTTAAAGCAACTTGCTTGTTAGATATAGATGACCTTGGAGAAACAACGCAACAGTTAGCAACGTGCTTCAAGCCCAAAAAAGAAAGAGAAAGCTTGAAAAGAAACTTAAAGCTGATTTAGCCTTAATTCCTTTGGGTATAAGAGGGAGGGAAAAGTAAACACAATCGGGCTTTTCAAGATTCCGTTGCCTATCTCAATAAAGTAGAGATTGATCACACCTGAGCAGCCCCTTTCCTGATTTGGCCACCTTGAAGAGCTGACACCAAATGTGGTGGTGGACGATAAAGATGTGCAATATGAAGGTTTGGCCACAATAATATCCAAACTTGCTTTCAAATAAATAACCTAAGTTGTTAAAAATTGTAATCTTTAATGTGATAGAGGAAATACTTTTCTATTTTTAAAAAAAACAATCGTATTAAGTGTATTGAATTATAGCTAAATAAAAACTAAGACACTTTTTTTTGTTCCACTCCTTTTCATATGCAATACCTGGCCTATCATTCAAAATTTAAAGATGCCTTTCAGCACAGAAAACAATGTGTGCATTGGCTCACTTTCCCATAGCAAAGGAAGAATAAGGCAGCTGAAGATACATCCATGTTTTGGACTGGGATTTTCTCTTTCTCTCCTTTTCCTTTCCCTTTCCTTCCTTCCTTCTTCTACCAAGTCATTAATTTTCTAGTGCTTCTGAATTCTCCCACTGTCTACCTGAACAGATTCTAACTTCCTTCTTTATAGTCCCTTCATGCATGCATACCTTTTTAAGTGCTTTGAATCACTAGGTGGCTCAGTGGCTAAGACACTGAGCTTGTCGATCAGAAAGGTTGGCAGTTTGGTGGTTCGAATCCCTAGTACAGGTCTCCTGCATGA